AAAAAAAAAAAAATAATAATAATAATAATAATAATAAATTACTTCACTGTATCCCATAATAGAATTGTTAAAATACTAACTTGATCGAAAATTCAGATTATTTAAACTTTGATTTTTCATCTTAACATAGTTGCTACGAAACTTTCATAAAAAATATTTGGATTTAATAATTTTTTGTTAAATATTATAATTTATGAGAAAAAAAAGAATAAACGGAGAGGTTAAATACATTAATAATAATTCTAAAATTTGTATAAAGATATTAAGGTAAAATGAAATATACATACTTTTATATGCAAAAGATATATGTTCCATGATATGTACATGCAAAATTTCGATTTTATCCCTTATGGTTATGGGTTAATTTCAATCATGATCAGAGTACTTTTCTTTTCGCTTTTTTTTAAATGACACAGGCGTCCAAGTTTCACCCGACTAATCCTGAGTCGTGACGGCCTTCTCTCTGAATCATCACAAGGGTAAATTCGGACGTGGTCACAGTTTATACACACTTAGACTGAACATTCGGAATGTGGTTCTCCTCCCTATGAACCTCCCTTTACAACGTGCGGATAGGATCCCTGGAGGGACAACAAGGCGCATCATAATTTTGCCTTCACATAACATCTGCCTTCTAACATAAATTTATTGTTGCGATGGCCAATGAATCTTAATTTACTTTAATATGTCCACTGAACATTTCACTTAGTGTCACAATGGTCATCGAAGTTTTAATTTATTTCATTACGACCATCGATATTTTACTTAATATTATCATGACCATCGAACTTTAATTTATTTCTTATAAAGTTGGGATAAATAGTCCTAACCTCTGAACCTTTTAACCATTGGTTCCCAACCTTTGATTTTTAGTGCACAAAATCAACTTTCAAGTGCCTGTGCCAAAGGTCATTTTTTAACAGACAATGTTAGTTTGACCCTTAAAAGGTTAAGTAATACTATAAACATTGTATCCTCTTCCATTTTAAAGAGAGGTTACAATGATCATTTTACAAGATTACAAAGGTCACTTTCTTTGATTAAAATGATCAGTAAATCAAACTCAATGCTATTTACCCTATAAATTCCGGTGGCCATGAATGAAATTTACCCTATAGTTGTCTAAACATAAGTTTAGCTCTCTTAATCATGTCAAAGTATCATACAATTCATACCAACTGACGGGGAAAAAACTTGTTCTGCATAAAGCATTAACTGCCCAGATTTACTCACAAAACACGGCATCCAGGAACCTATGTATCGAACAAGCTCAACCTGCCATCAACGATTTTTCAGAAAGCCAAAGTAAAACTTAAATATTGTACGGAAAGCCCGGGTTTATTCCATAACAAACTTTAGATACAATAACAGCATGTACAATGAATCCATTGCTTCAACAGTTCGATATGCTGTCCCTTTTACCAGAAATTTAACACTGTATACGCTTGTAAATATATGCAGCACTACAGTATAGGAAGGAAAACAAACATGGTAATCCTGTCTAGCACCTACAGGCACATGCTAACATCTTTTCTCCTACAAGAACAACCTTGAACATTGATCGTCACCTTGGGCTCGTGTATAACTACGATCTTCAAGCATGAAGTACCTGGCAGTGAACAATGTGACTTTTGAAGCGGTTCCTTCCAGGGAGGTTTGACAAAAAATTGGTCATTAAAGTCTTGAAATGTCCTTTCCCGGCAATAGTTTCCCACAGATGCTCATCAGTCGAGCTGCTACCATGGTCGGATTTCAAAACGTCGACTAGTGAAATACTCATGTTGTTCCGAATAATGCATAACTTCCCATTAAGAGGGAGAAGTGCTGCAGCCTCTAAAGCTTTTGAGTTCCCTAAATGCATTTTACCGTCAATCTGTTTGCTCCAAGAACCAGTTGCTTCGTCATATACTTGAAGTTTGCAGCCATCTTTGCAGTCCAAAGCGTACAGATGGCCATTTACCGTGGTGCTCAGGCTTCTCCAACCTGCAACCATACCATCATGAATGGAGCACCAGCTATCCGTTTCAGGTTGGTAGACCTCAGTCAAAACCTGTCGGTGAGAACCTAATCCCTTCAAGAACCACTTGCCTTCGTAGACGACCCCTATAATAGGCACCATTGCAGTGCTCATATCAGAAATGAAGGACCACCTGTTCTTGTTAGGATCATAAACTTCGGCTGATCTTAGGGACCGGTGAATGCCCTCATTCTCCCCACCAGCGACATACAAACAATTGTTTATAACACAACAGCCAAAAAACTGTCGCCTCCGAAGCATATCTGGGGCTCGACGCCATTTATTGGTGCGTGCACTATAAAAAATGACTCTCCTCATTGAACCTTTAACTGGATCTTTGCCACCAAACAAATAGAGGTGACAACCACTAAGAACAGCACACCCGAAACCGAGGGCTTCAGAATATTCTTTGGGGATGGGAGGGAGAGGCTGCCAAAGCTGATATGTGGGATCAAAGGCGTGCCATGATATTTTTCTATCTCGGTCTTTCTTCATGACGTATATCCACTCCTCTGAAATTCCAAGATTCTTCCGAAGTGAGTAAAAGAAATTACCTGCCAAAAGACGATACCATCTCTTGCAGACTAACCGCAGCTTTCTATGCTCATTTCTTGGAACACGGATCAAGCAAGCAATGGCAAGATCATCTGGAAGTCCAGGAAGCAGAGGGGATTGACTACTGTTTCTGTCATGAGGTGGCTTCTGCCTTGTGGGGTGAATTGAAGGTTTGATGTCAGGCTGAAGACAAAGCTTTGTCCCTGGCACATACTTTTTAGCTCCAGCAACAGTTTTGAGGCCTGCATCTACTCGACAAAGGCATGCTGTTGTGTCAACCTGTAATCAAGATTACTGTTGGGGTGTTGTATCTCGGAAAAACAATACCACATTACGGTAACACATTGTTGTCCCGCCACAAAGAAGGAACAACAAACAACAATATCAGCCTTTACTCTTAGCCTCTGTTTGAGCCTCATTCTTTAGAATTCATTTTCAATCACATATTCTCTCAATAAAATAATTTTGCATGTACCGAAAACATTTCCCCATTTTTCTAACCAAGCATTCCAAATCTATTCTCAAGAAATGCGGCTCAAAACAGGGCTTAATATATTTAGCGTCGGCTATCATTGAAGGACAAAGATTGGCAAAAAGAAAAAGAACAGAGAAACCAATTGAGTTACACATCAATGCAACATCAAGTTTTGCATAAATAGTACTACAGAAATCTGTCATTATGAAGGGAAAAATTCCAACCACCCTGAAATAGCAAGTAATGCTTAAACAAAGAGAGACTACTTCAGTGAGAACAAAATTTTCTCCTTTTTCTCTGAATCTGAGTTTACATGGCTAGACTTCATCAATCGTCCTTGAAGAACATGATAAGACTATATTGCCTACATAAGTAATGACCGTCCTCAATTCCTTTCCTGGACATCCACAAAGGATGTCCTCCTTCCAAAAATAGCCATGCACTTCCAGAAAAACCTCACTTAAGACTGCAAGATGAAGATCTTTGCTGCAATTCTTAATGGTAGAATAAAATGCTAAAACAAATATCCATTTATATATCTCAAACCAAATTTTGATCATTATTGGAATAGATAAATCTTATTGTTATAATGTTATCAAGCTTACTTGCCTGAGACTTCACTAGAATCCAAAATTTACAAGTAACACAACTTAAGGGAAAAAGCATTTTACGCATTGTTTTTCCCTAGTTGCCCGTAACTCTCGTTGTTGTGTTGAAAATACACAATGAACTCCTAGTGTTTCTTGAAATACAACTAATAAAAGCTATTAGCTTAATGAAATGATTATTTTTTCACTCTTTAGGACAAACATATTCTTTTATCCATAAGACCAATTTCTAGTTCTTTCAACTCTCACCTATCTTCTCATTGCAATCCTACAGCTTCAGCACATTGTTTCTTAACTTGCATCCCTGTAAAAGCTACAAGAAACTGGAAT